TTGAACTACAAAATTACATTTAAAAATTGTTCTTTTGCTTTTTTTAGATAAGTATCTAAAATTTGATTCGTTAAATAACAAAATAAAACCATGCGACTAAATAGATTACTTCTCAATCTTTGTTCGCTGAAAAATCTATCAATTATCAAACGTTGTCGGACTAATACTTGAACCATCTGATTATTGTTGAACTTGAACTTGTTTTAAAATATTCAGCATGCAGATGCGGTTTCTTTGCAAAAGGTCCGACCATACATTATTCATAGATTATATGAAGAATCTCTGAGCCTACGACAAGTCAGTTGGTCTAGAACTTATTTATGTACAATAAATATTGTATAATATCTAAATTTTGCTGACTACACAAAATTTTGAGGTACTAATTGTACCTAATTAGAAATTATTCGATTTATATTATAAATTGGGTTATACTTTTTAAATTAATTTAATAAATTAAAACTCTTTATAATCTGCTCATATACATTTTTGACTCTTTAAAATTTGAAATATTATTGAGACATTCTTATTACCTGGACGGAAATTAAGAATACATTTGATATTCGCCATACATTTCATAGAATTTTTTTTTAAACATAATTCTTGTTTGCGAGCTTTGTGAAATTTATAAATACAATACATAAACATTTAGAAGGTATCGCATTTTTCTGAGTATTTGCAGGAACTTTTCGATATTATTTTAAACTAGTGCCTTTTTTAATGTAGATGATCTTCCACCTACAGAAAAATATCGAAGGGAACATCAATTTCGACATAGTCTAGCAGCTATATCAGAAAGGAGAAGTGCAAGAAATTCTTTTTCTAATGAATCTGGTAAAAATAATCACAGGTAACTATAATTTTCTTGAAGAAAATACCAGGTGATTTGCGCTTTAATAGGAAAAATCTGTACTTTTGATGTTTAAGGCAGTAAGTTTATCACCGATGCTAGAGCGCTCTAATATAGAAGCTGGTAGCTGTTCTCTCTTCCATTTTTCTGAAGGTTTGATTCTAAGCATCTAAATACTGTTGAATTTTGCCAAAAACATCCAGAGTGGCCTTAAATAAAGCATATTTGTTTGGCCTTATTTTTTTTTAGGCAGTTGTTTTTGTTCTGTAACAAAGCAAAAGTGTGTGCTATAACCTTTTTTGTAATTTAACTAATTAATGGAACATACTGCGCCGAATATTTACACTCTTGTTACAGGATTGTATTTTATGAATGCAGCTTTTATTCGAGAAAAGTAGCTATTCATTCAAGTGTCGAACAATGAGAAAAATGTTTGAATTGGAAAATAAATTTTGTCCTAAATACGGTCTGTACTGTAAAATTTATCATTAGCTTTTTATTAAAACTTGTTGTTAAAGTTAGCTTACGCGAAAGTTAATGTTATTTTTAAAACACACAAGACTTATTCTATCCCTGGAAAATTGCCGCATGGCCATTATTATTTTGCTGCAGTCAAGTTTTCTTTATGCGCTTTTTGATTTATTGCGGTATTTCAGCGGCTCTTTTAAATTTTCAAAATATTATCTTTTTAATTATATGTAAACAAGAAACGTTATATATTGAACCCATGATTCAAAAGTAAGTACATAAGTAAGAATGTTACCTATTTACTTACATTTAATGTGTAGCACTAGACGATAGTAATATTCATAATATTTTTATTCGTTTCTTTTCTCAGGTCATCACTTGACTCTTCGCTTGAGAACACTGATTGTTTAAAAGTTACCAATCTGAATGAGTTTAAAGCGGAAAAAACGTCATCTCCGAATAGTTCCAGTTATTTCAGCTGGATTGAAAGTGTCAACAGCGAATACTTTGGAAGCGCCGTATCAAACGCATCTAGTAAGTCTTACATATTGAAAAAATAAATATACCTTTAAAAATATTTGCAAAAAAATTGTTTTCAATTTGAAAATTTGTTACAAAATCAATGTTTTTCAGCTCAAGATGCTGATAGCAAAGTTGGCGAGTGGAATAACTTCTGGTTGAACTACAGCAGTGCTCGTCTTCGTCATTTATCAACTGATCAAACGTTTAGCTCTGATGGAGGAGAAAGAACAGCAGATGATCAGTCAGATCAAGAGCACAAAAGTCCTGGAAGTACCCAGAGGGACGTTACTGATAAAAATTCTGTGGAACTCGTTATGTTAACAGTGGAAGAAGTGCGGATTTGATTGCAAGCGTGTCTGAATGATATTTTTCAATAATATTTTTTTCCAGATTCAAGAAACATTAAGATGCTCGCAAAGGATTACGGAAATATTGCGAAGTGCCATGAAAAGAAGCGAAGTAGATGGAGGTTCAAATGGGTCTTATTATTCTCAACATTTATCTACTAAGGTAATTCGAAGGAATATTCGACTTAAAAAACCATCCAATCCATTGATACGTTTAGCTGAGTATATGGGCAACTATTATGTGTTATATGAAAATATATAGAATGTTCTAAATGTTTTGTCCAAAATTATACATGTAAAATATACAACAATTTCAGGAGAACGTTAAAGCAATTGGTGCCCCAAATGTTCACTCAATCCAGAATAGTGTTCTAAAGTTTCTGAACTTTTTTTAATTTCTGGCTTTCAGTCGTTGTTTAGAAGCTTATTTGATAGTTAACAGCACGCTTCATCTAAATTACACATTCTTTGAAAGCGAGAAGCGTTAATTAATGTTTGAGCACTTGGCAACTTAAAAGCTGCCATGGTTCGACTTGTAATGTTTTTAGTCGGTAAGGGGGAGTTGAACAAAAGTTTTTCAAGAATTTTTTTCTCTTCCTAATTGATCATTAAATTAGACAATAATTTTAAGTTTGGGAAAATTGAAGAGCGTATCACTTTTTTCTATTCAAAATATTCGGTTTATATTAACATATTTTGAGCCCTTGGCATTCCGAATACTGCAATCAATCGACTTATATTTTTTCACTCCAAAACTGGGTGTCGCACGGAAAAGTTTCAAGAGATCGTTTCTCTTCCGAATTGATCGTAAAATTGGAAACTAATTTTTATTTGATATAGATTATAGAACTAGTACAATAATAAGCATATTTAGCTTCAGCTATAATATCCCAACTTATCCCGCATATAAAATAAATTTTATCTACAAATACTGCATTTACAGTTTAAAAACTATTTTCAGAATTCAGTGAACGATGAAGTGGATGTACCATCAGGAAACATGGCCAATAGAGAACGTTCGATTTCATGCATTGAAACCCAACCGACTCAGCGTCAGAAGCAATCCATGAAGCCAAAGCAACAGTCTTCAAGTACCAGTTGTATTGAAGCTCTTTTAAATACTGGCGTGGGAGATATTTGGAAACGAGTCATATCCAAACGACGTGATGTTTCTTCAGCCGATTCCAAGCTTCTTCAAAGAAACAGCTTTTCTGAGTGGTCCAGTCGATAGTTTCATTCTAAGCCAGTTGCTTGAATCTCAGGGACTTATTTTATTCAAATTATAGCATCTGTTTTCTTGATATATTTGTTAGCTTTCAATTTAGCAACACGTAGATAGCTGTTTGAATCTTTATATTATTTTATCTGTTGTGTGATATTTATAGTGCATGTTTCAGTTTCACATCGCATGAAAGTATGTGTAAAACTAACTGGGGAGATAATTTAGTATGCGATGAAACAGTAATGAATGTAACTTCATTGGTATGACTATAACCGAGTTGCATACCTCTGGAATAAAGAGAAAAATTCTTTTTTACAGCACATAACTGTATGTATACTGTATTTTTAGCTGGTTTTAAAGAAATAAATTTTGTAAAATTCTCAAATTTTATTGTGCAAAAATATACAAAATATACTGAAAAGCTTTGTTATTTAATGATAGCCAGAAGTAATTGGCAGATTAGAAAAACCCTCATTTAAATATAGAGAGAGCTTTAAATTATACAAAAGTGTGTATTCGTGCAAATATTTGCTTCCGCACTTAATGGTTTTATAACTAGACAAACTGTAATAAAGTTGCAGCTACATTCCTGAACATTTATGTTTTTATAGAATTGAGCAACAGTTTGGTTTAATTTTTTTTTCTGAAAGACGATGCAAGATGTTAAAAAAGTCAATAGGCAAACATGTACTCTTTCAGTGAATTGATGTGAATTTGGTTTTAAAATCGCAAACAAATTATAAAATAAATGATGAACTTTTCATTTAAACTGGCTGACTTGTTCGAAGGTTTTAATAAAAACTGAATACAAAATTAGAAAAATTTAAATAAAATTTATAAAAATTCTAAAGATTCTGCTCCCGGAAACGATGTACAGGGCTATTGATTGAACTATGGCCACCCCGTTTTAGCATCTAATTTGAAATTTAGAGAAAAATGTTAAATAAAAAAGTTGTAGATATTAACGTCTAGTTTAGTTTAAGATAACATCAATTGATAGAGGGTGTCTCAAATTCAAATTAAAAATTCAAACTCCGTTTAAATTAGAGTGTAATTAAGAGGGAAAAAACATGTATAAACAACACAATATTTCTTACACCACATTAAAAAGTTTAATTCAAAGCAGAACACACTCGCTTAATATTTACATTTTAAAGGTTCAAATAAAAATCTTCCACAGTAGCAAACCTGGCTAGTTAATGTTGAAACACTGAGTGAAAATTATTTTCAAGTAAAAAAATAAAGCCAAATTATTGATTACCCAAAAATCGTTTGAATTAGGGTATAAATCACAGAGGAAAGCCAGTAAAAAATAACAAAAATTACCTAATGCGACAAAAAAATTGTTGAGTTCGAGTACTCGAATACTCGACTATTCGAATATTCGAATATTCGTTAGATATTCGAGTATTCGAATAATTTTACTATTCGAATAAACCACTAAACGAGTATTCCAATTTCAGATTTTAAAAAATTCCGAGCTCTAGTCTGTAATAGAGAAATAGATTAATATCGCTTGTGAATATCGAAATTGCGTCTCAGCGATTTTAGGCAATCGGCAATACAGAAATTCTCCGAGAGCGCTCACGTAAACGCATGAAAATAAACGCCGGTTAGAAGGTTAAGAAGAATGTCGCTTCTAACCTAGTTTTTCTTGCAATTTGTTTGTTACTTAAAATGAAGCAAATTTAATGTTTAATGATATTTGGAAACAATGATTGGCATCAAAACTGGAATTAGTAGACTTTGCCCATCTTTGGGCACTTTGGTAAGAGGTTTGGAAGCCTAACATGACTGAAATATTAAGTTCAGAAAACTTACAGATTCGACCCTTGTGTTCTAAAGCGATTTTAAATGAAACCAGCTTGGATTTTTCGTTTCGTGAACAATTTTCGTCAGAAGAACATTCTAAAATTCTGCAAACAATCAACGAGTCATCACCGGAAGAGCTATCCAGGTAAGAGAATATATTAGGTATACGTAGTCTATGAAAATATCTGGTTTTACTGAAGAAAGTTCGAACCTCCTTTGCTTGATACATGTTTCCTTTTACTTCAGGGAAGTACTGTAAAAGTTTCCTGTACTGCCTCCTACTTCCTATATGACTCCGAATACTTTTCCTTTAGGTACATTTAATAATCAGCAAAGTCTTTACCATGATTCTCACGAAACTAACATTAATTACTACTTTGTGTGAATCTTTCTCCGCCGCTCTTCCGCTTGCTAAAGCGTCCAACTGTACGGATTTTAAAAACTGTTAAGTTTCGAACTCAAATTAACCGTTGAAATTGATTTTATTTGGAAAAGGTTCCACAATCATGTAAGTGCAGAACCAGAAAGTTTAAATATTGTACACGAGTTAAACTTTAATTGTTTGTGTAATTCTAATCTAAGTACTACCCTAAAAAATAGCGCGATGAAGCAAGTTAAGGTAATGTAATAAATTAAATTTGACTTGAATTTTTATGGTGGAAAATTATCTGATGTTATTAGTTTCGAATAGAGATTATTCTCAAATCAATTTGCTCAACTACAGAATTTGAGGCAATCGAATTTAAGGAAGTTTATCTAAAAGTCTAAAAATAAATCATTGTATGAGAATCTGTACTTTCAACCATTGTTATTATACCTATAATAATAATTTCATCTGAGATTTTTTCTTTGAGTTGAAATTTATCATTTCCCAAAAGGTTTAGAGAAAAACATTTTATTCACGTTTTTTCAAAATACCCACACTTTGAATGGTTGGGTCAAAAAAAGCAATTTTGTTTTCTTGGAATCAATTGTCCTCGTAAAGTTTTTTAATAAAAGAATAATTGGTAAAAACAAAGTAGACCGCAGACCTTCATCAATGTTGGATACAGGATTTATTGTTATTCACATATTTAATCTTTAGGTCTCCCGTACTTATCGATATTTACTGCCAATTTTTTTCTAATTCTATTTTCATTTTAATTCTTGCTTTTGTTAGAATATTTTATTTTTTTTATTTTTTATTATTATATTAAACTGGAGTTTAAAAAGTTTTGCTCAAATAAGATCTTTGAATCAATTCATGCTTCTCCGATCAAATTAATCTGACCCACTTCAGATTAAAACACGTTGTACTTCAGTTCAACAACACAGCAACAACAACAACAAAACCCTTTAATTTTAAAATCTGTGCTTTAAACACTTTGTATCTCTTTCCAACTTTAGTTAATGCTTGTGTTTTCAAATTAAGTGTATTATTTTTGAAAAGTACGACCGTACTGATAATCCTTTCCTCATTCCATCCATAATCTGAGTATTTAGGCCGTAAAAAGCATTCTGAATTTTCTAGACGTAGAACCTTGAAAACTTATTGATGTCTTTCTTTATTGTTTGTTTGCCTGAATATTATTGCTTTGTCTGCTGGCTTTATGATAACATAATTTTGGCTGCGAAGAAAATACTTCCTTACGCTTATCCATGCATCCTAATTATTTTCCGTACTTCCTTATGTTTCCGCCGAAATCGACGCATAATACACATAATACAATAATACACAGAGGCACGGTTACAGATATAAGATATCAAATGGGAGACTTAAAGGCATTACAGATTGGAAGCAGACAAAAGGTCCTTTTAAGTCAGTTGGTGAAGTCCTAGAAGTAGACGGATTTGGAGAAAAAGCCTTGAAGGACATTTGCAAACGAATAGTGGATAATAATTTATGCGAAACTAAGTTGGCAAATGCCAGGCAGTATAAAAATATAAAAAATCTAGTGCTTCCCGAACTGAGTTCGACGTTGACACAGGTAACGAGTAGTAAAAGAGTAATATCTTTTCAAGATGATTATATTTTATTTTAGACGTTAGAAGATGTAGTTGCTATTCATCTAGACCCTAGTGGTATAGGGTGGTCGAAAATTAAAAACCAACACAATCTGGTCACTGATTGGGAATATCGGAACTTTAGTTCCTTGCCTGCAAAAATGTTGCCTTCAGACGCATTTTATCTGGTGATTATTTTTATTCAGAAAGTTATCTTCGACTTGTCCCGCTTGTATTATAGGCTTTGGATATTGTGAAAGCAATACCCAGTGGAGATTTGTACATTTTCGAAGCACCCCCTATTTTAAGCCCTCAAAATCTGACTAAACATGGTGTTGTTGCGACGCACAATCAGCATGTTGAACTGCAATCAATGTTACTGACATTGTTGAATACAAGTGAAGTTCACAATAAGTTTTTGGAAACAATTGCAGATGATAAGTTTTATTCTAGAGAACTTCCAAATGTAGTGTTCTATTTAAAAAATAAAGTTGCTGCTAGGTAGGTGCAAAGGTTCCTAATAAATTCATTTCTCACTTTAATAAAAACTAACGTTGGTTTCAGACTGTTTAAGACACTGATTGGATATGAAAAAGTATCTGCAATAACCGCCATTACTGGAATAGTAAAAGATGATGCAGGAATAGTAACTTTACTGCCATGCTCACCTGTTAAATTTGATTGCAATGTGTATACAGCGTTCTTAAATCAAAGTTCCGCTAATAAAGAGTTATTGGCTCAAGCTTTAATGTTGGCTGTTAGTTTTATGGACTTGTGTATATATAAAAATGTTGATAGTTACGATGCTTTAAAACCAACACGAAAGAAAAAGTAGAATAGCTTCTACTGTAATAACATGAGTTGTGTATTTTATTATTACTATACTTAAAATATACCAAACATTAAAAGTTTTTCTTTTTTAGTCATTTATTAACGATCAATCTACCTGAATTTATGACTACTACTATCCCGGTTACATGAAATGATATCCCATTATAATATATTTTAAAATAATTAATTGTTACAAAGCGTTGTAAAATGCGAAAGAGAATTATAGTTTTATAATGAGCGCAGTCGAAAGGATAGTTCTGATTAAACTGGTTATTTTCAATTGGATATTGATGGTAGCTGAAGTTGGGTTTTGAAAGCAAATAAAACATTTTGTATCAATCAGATTCTGATAAATGCGGATTTAACCATTATAAAATCTCGCAAAATACTTCTTTCTCGAGCGGCAATGACACATTGTTAACAACTTTCTTGATCAAATAGAAGAAAGTGGAAGTAGTTAATGAAACAACGTTATTTGTTGTTAAAATTGCAAGATATTTGAACTTAAATTCAAAGAGCAAACATCTAAATTGGATACGTTGTAATATTGGAAGAATAATGGAAATATATACAATTCGTCATGTTAGCAGGCAGTAAACCTTAAAAATAAAACACGGAGAACATCAATACGGGAACTCACTTTCATTTGTATAAGTATTTTGATTATTTCGAGAACATTCAACAAATTTTATATTTGTAATACAACTGGCATTTTTTCAGTCCGGGGCCAGTAAATAATGTATTTGCTTCCAACAGACAAATATTTTGAAGTAGAAAATTATATGTTTTAAGTCGATTTTTGCCATAAACAGAAGCGATGATAATTTGGGACTAAATATTTTTGAAAACTCGATATTTAATTGTAAAATTAAAAGTTCAAAATACACGAGAATATTTATTTGGGTCTAATTTAGATATCAATTTCACAAAAAAACCGAAAAACTTTAGAATCATGGCCGAGTTTTGTAGATAATTAAAAGAAAAAAATATTTTGAGCCTCCTGGTAGAGCATTAAATCTTCCTTTCGATAATTTAAATCTAAAAAATATAAACACAACAAAAAAACTTGTTTTTGTATCGGCGAAGCTGCAGAAAAATGTCTGTGTTTAAGTTATACCGTGTTACCGGTTTGACTGTCAGTATTAAATCGTGATTCAAAATTAAATTTTGCGTCGCGTTAATCGGTACTGTGAATCTTGTGAGAACATTTTGTGTGCTTTGTGATGTGAAATGATAAATTGAACTTGATGGAACGGGGCAAATTGAGTACATGGTGAGCACCAGAGTTTCATTTTAGATATTCCTTCTTGCTTCTTTTGGATATTTGCAAATGTACGCAATAGTTTTGAAAAGTGAAAAATGAATCTATAGTATAGTATATTGCTTAAAAAAATAAGGAGTTGAGAAAGGTGCTGAAAATATGTAAAAGTTTGATTATTACTGCAAATACCGGAAATCGTCTATTATTCAGAATATATTATTTAGTTTTTTGTTATCGGGAAAGTTTTTAACCCCAAAAAAAATGCCACATTTCAAGGAAAAGGTGTTTCATTGGGCATCTTTCATGGGGAAATATAAAAATGAAATTTTAATAATTCATTTTTTGTTACGTGTTGAAAGTTGTTCAGTTTTTGATGTTACCAACATTAACATGTTTAATACTGTAAAACCTATTTTCTTCTCTATTATTGAGCGCAGTAGTATTTCGGGTTAATCACTAATTGAATATTATCCCACTTTACATTTAATATTTACTGGGCGTTTATAAATGTTTAAGTTTGCCGGTTTTCTTACGCTTTTAGCCGAAGTTCCACACGTCCAATTTCACGTATTAGCTAACAAAATAATACTGTTTGGACACAATGATTTAAAGAACTATGAATCAAACACCACCTCCTTGAATAACAACTTTATTTTAATAGTATTATTAACGCTACAATGCATAAATATATCACTATTCGAAAAATGCAAACTTGAAACAGTGTAAAGGTACAAAATGATTAAGTTTATCTAAAATATGTACGTGGAATGATCTAATTTATTGACATATTTTGCTATTTCCTATGTTATAACATTTTTCAACAGTCTTCAATTTCTAAATACTGGACAGGAATGTAAATGATTTAAGTGTATCTATATCACTAATATTCATTACCTAGGTAAATATTTTCTCAAATGCCACAATTGCTAGAACAGTTTATTATGGCTATTCCACAGGCAAAATGTCTTTATATCGTTGATTAATTGATATAAAATAATTAGACTGATGGAGATTTTGCCAATGGAGCAGCCTTTAGAAGATATTGTTACCACTAAATGAAATACTGATTGCATTTGTCGGAAATGATTGAAAATTGTGTATATTTCACATAATGTTTGTACAAGGGTGATATTATTTGTTTAAAAGGACGGCTTTAGCTTTTCGTACACAATCTTTAACGCTTCAAAGTGGATATGAATCTTCAGTCTCAAGGACTAAACATTGATACTTGGGTATCAAAAAGATATGATAGTGAATTTACTATGCTTGCATTGATTTCGATCTTATTGAGTAACAACCGATTTCTTATGATATATCGCAGTTTAGTTACAACAATTCCTATTAATCGATTCAAATAGGCACCATAAACAGTTCTTTGGCATCAAAACTGGAATGTATTAATTTAATTAAAAGTAATTCAAGAATCATGTGCTAGAGGGTTGCGTGTGCCAATAGAAAACTCACATTCTTTGGTTTACGAAAAGCTCGTCAAGGCAAAGGTTTAGGTACATTTTCATCAAATTGCCCCACGTAATTGCCTTTCGGATGATAATTGCACACAACATAAGTTTGACCCTTTGCATTTTTCGCAATTCCCACTCCCAACTCTTTGCTGTCTTTCCAGATAATTTGGGTAAAGTGTAAACTTTCTTGAGGAACTCTCGATCTGTTGTATGAGTGCTTTTTGATTTCATCGTACCATTCTTTCACAGCATCGCGAGCAGTTGGTACATAACTATAATCCGAAGAGTACATTGAGAATATGTTTTCTCCATATTGGTTGTTTGCTCGATGTTGTAGGCTGGTAGTGCGTGCACACGTTTCAGCCCACTCTTGTGCATATTTGGAGATCTGAAAAATTGTAATTTCGAGTTAGGTTTTTTACTTAAAACATTTTAATTTGGTGGAGTAATGTTTGAGCTTTTGGGAGAAATTTAATTCGAGATGTACAAATCAATTGTGGCTTAACATGAATTAACATTTTTATCGACATGCAATTCTGTTTTATTTGTTGCTTTTTACATTAAAAAGTCGAAGCATTTGCATTTTGACGCAAAGCTCCGTTAAATGTGAGTGTTCAGTTTATCTCTTGATACAATAATAATTAGAGTTAGAGGGAGAGCGTGTAACATTTACACACATTTGATATAATTTAAAGCCTTTTTGGGTTTCGATTTTCTTCAAAACTCATCAGTTATTCATATTAATTATACGAAAAATTGAATTACTATTTTTAACTATGATTTTTGAATTTTTTTTCTTAAAGGGTTTCTGAATTTCAAATCTGCTGTAAAAATGACGTAAAATTTTTGAAACTGCCCGCACAATGTCGATTACATCTACATCTACATTTGTAAAGTCTTACTTCATAGTTTAGCACCAACTGTGGAACCCCATGTTTTCGTCTATATTCGTTATGAACTTGAAGAGCATCTTTAGCAAAACTTCTAATATCAAGTTCATCGTTTTTCTGCTTTGGATCTGAAGCGGCTTGAGCTGCGTTTTGCGCCATATCCGGAATTGAATCGTAAAATGTAGGTTTGAGGGGAGGACAGTTTTCTACATAGTGTCCCACAAAATTTCCGGCAGGGGAATAGTTAGCAACCACGTAGATGCTACCTTGGCTTGATTTTGCAACACCCACACCAAGAGATTCGCTGGATTTCCAGATCACTTGCGTGAAATGACCGGATTTCAAAGTACTTGGTTCACGACTGAATGGGTGATCTTTGATTTCCTCGTACCTGTGCATTCAAATCGAAATAAAATCATGTATTTTGGCAAAAAATAGTTCTTACCAATTATCTACTGGTGTGTTTCCATTGACTCTGAAGCTTGGATCTGATGTATAGAGGCAGTAAATATTCTCCCCATAGTTGCTTTCAGGTCGATGTTCCAGAATATTTTTCGAAGCCAGATGCTTCGCCCATTCTTCGGCGTATTTGCAAAGGCTTTTGTCCAATTTCAATGGGGGAACACCGTGTCTTTTTCGATATTTGTTGTGCGCGTTGAGAAAGTCGTCCTCAAAGTCTCCTTCGGTCACTGAGCGCAGATCTCGAGTGGAGCTTTTAGAGCTGAGAGATAAGCGACCGAGTTGAGCTAATAAATATAAAACAGAGTTTAGATGGTTTTGACACAAAATATACGGTTTGAATTTGACAAAACGAAGTAATTTCAATGTTAAAATTCAGTATTTTAGCAGCTTACTTGGTAATTCTATAGTGTTATTGTTGTTGTTGTTGTAGCTGGGGGACAGTCCTCCAGGTGGTGGAACGTTTTCGTCAAAACTCCCAATCATATTTCCAGGTGGATAATAATTCGCAACTACAACCACTTTTCCTCCCATTTTTGCAAAAGCCACGCCTAGCTGCTTAGACTCCTTCCATATGACTTGGGTGAAATGTCCAGAAGCCAGACTTTGGGGCTCCATGCCAAACTTATGCAGCTTTATCTCATCATACCTGCCAGATTTGCAATTGCAGTAGTTTTAGATTTTCTATAAATGAGTGCTTGCGTGCTACTCACCAACTTTCCACAGCTTTTCTCCCAGATACTGTGAAATTGGGATTCGACGATTGCATCATAAAAATATTCTCGCCATAGTCCCGATTATTGCTATGCACTAAAGCTCCTTTCCTGATCAGATGGTCGGCCCATTGCTGGCTAAACTTGCAAATCTCCTTATCCAACTTTAAAGGTGGGACTCCATGCTTCCTGCGATATTCATTGTGGGCTTGCAGACATTCAGTTTGAAAGTCCATTTTCCGATGGAGCGGTTTCTGAAAAATTAGTCGTTGCCTATTAATGAATTAACCAATT